TTTCGGTTGCACTTGACAGAAACTCATTTGAGGTTGCTGGAGCAGAAAAGGGGCCTTTCTTATAATGGTACCATGGGAGCTTCCAGAGACTCGAGGACTTTGTGTGTGTGTGTTTGGTTACTTCTTCCTCTTCACGTGGCTTGGTCTTCCTCGTCCTCCCATCTTAGCTTGACTGTCACTTCCTCACAGAGGCCTGTTTTCGTTCCATTTCCTCTTGTGGCGGCTATTGTGGGGAGAGAGGGAGTGTGGCTGGGCAATCACCCTGTCGGGCTCTCCTGTAACTCACCGCTAGCCCTGCAGCCAGTATGCGCTCCCTGCTAGACACAGGGACACGGGATGAGAGGTGTGCTGTCCCTGTCCCCAAAGTACCCACAGCCCAGCGAAGGTGCCAGACCGACCAGCCAGAGACGAATTGATGAGTCTCTTGGATACAACAGGGGACGATGCAAGAACAACAGAACAAAACCCGAAAGCTCCCCCTGTCATGAAGCTAAATGATAAGATAAATCAATAAAATATGTGGCATAGTACAATTGAGGTATGAAAATATTTCATATTGAGAACCTTGAAATAGGAAAACAAAAATATGAATATGAGACAATTCAGTTTCAACACGAAAATGTTACAAGAGGAGGAGTTCCGAAAATGAATCCCTAAAAGCGACTATAGTTATAAATGGGATGGTGGTGGTGGGATCTGGGAAGGGTGTCCCAGGCCCTGGGAATGGTAGGTACAGAGGTCTGGGGGTGGGGGATGTGCTCTGTCCTTGGAGTGGAGTGCGGGGGGCAGGGGCGTTGTTCCTGAGCTTAGAGAAGTAACAGCCCACCTTCGGGGGTCTTGCCAGCCATTGCAAGGGGTCACAGCTTGCTCCGGTGGAGAGAAGCCAGAGAGGGGGCAAGGTGAGGAAGGCCTTTCATAGGCTCTTTGATACTATAATTACTTGTACTTTAGTTTCCCGTTCTGTTTGTATTTTTTCTGGTTAAGGTATATTATCTTAGGCTGGCTTAATTAGCCCCATCCCTGAATTGTCCCAGAGAATGCCAGGGAGGTCAAAGAGATAGGACTGGAGGGGCACCGCCACAGCTGTCCAGAGTGACCGTGGCGTGGAAGGTCCCCCTCCCGGGTCACCTGCGTGTGCCCTCAGCCTCATCCCTTCAGGGCTACTTTTCAGGTGCTTGCCACCCACTGTCTGAGTCCATCCTTGGAGCATGCAGGGGTGACCTCCGCATGCTTTTAATGAAGCCTCTAAGTTGCAGAGAAGAGCGAGCCCAGAGTCACACAGGGCGAGCTGGACCGAGCCAGAAAGAATGCACTTCTGCTGCCAGTGGCTCTTTTGGGCGCTCCCGTCTAATGGACCCCCATCCTGTGCGATGGCCTTTATGGTTCAGATACATCCACTACTGTTACACATTCTCTGTTCCCTTTGGGGAACTGGTGTCCTACCCTTACTAGCTGAAGGATTGCTACGTGGCTCTGAACAGGGACTTGGGGTCCAAATCCAGGGCCTGCCACTGACCACTTCATAACCCGCCAATTGCTCATATTCTTGATTCTAGTTCCTCATCCGTAAGGGATTAGCACTGCCTGCCTCCCCGGGCTTGGGGGTGCGTGGCTGAGGTCATGGACATCAAGTCGGAGCGCAGCTGCTGCTGGAGAGTAGCTCGGTAGCTAGAGCTAGCCAGATACGTTGCATGGAAAATGCATTCACTTTTTACCAAAACCGCCTTTTTCTTTGTAATCATTCCTTTCTTTTCCTGGACTGTGGTGTGATCCAGATACAGACATTGGATGTGCATTGGCCAGCACTTGGAGGTCACTCTAGCCTCGGGTAAATGCTATGTTTTCTGTCCACTCTCCCTGCAGTTATCAGGAGTGTCTTGTTAGAAATCAGCTGATAGTCTCAAAGCATTGCTCTTCACGATGAGTCATGGTTCTCCATTGCATTATTTTAATTAGGCAGCTAAAGATTATGCCAAGTGCTCTCCCAGGCCTGTTTGATGGGGGCTGTCAGGTTGCTGAAACATTTGTAGTATTTATTGCAGGGACTCTGAGGCTTTTGCCGGGGGAGGGGGGGGGTGCTTTTAGGAACTATGTTCTTTTTTTGTCTCTCGCAGAGCCCTGGGAGTAAATCCATAAAAGGCTGACTCTTGATCTCAACTGAGGTGATTCTGTTTATCCATTTCAGAGTAACTTTTTAGCACTTCATCTTTTACTCATTGAGCGATGCGTATTGGTAATGAGTAAAAATATTTATCAGTTTGGAGAATGGCTCTATCAGTCTTCCTGCCCCTACTAAGGCAGTGGGGAACCTAACACCATTTTGCTCAGGCTGCCTGGCACAGTGAGCATGCATTTGTGTGAGTCAGAATCAGTGGAGAAGTGTGGGGGGCTGAGGTTATCTCCAAGACATGTAGAAATGTGCGGCCCTATGTTTGAAAAAAGATGATACTATATTTAAGAACAAATATTACTTGGTTTCTAATTATGACATGTCTGCCATACACATGAAAAAGTTTTCCCTGCGCTTCGGACTTGCAGAATTAGTAGAACCTAGAATTTGGGGTTTGTTCATCTACAATGATAGTGTAATTTGTATTAATATATTTATACTATTATTTCCCTTTTGCTGTTACTGTTGAAAGTGTTATTCATGTAAGATACGCAGAATTTCCTTTCTGTTCCTTTCCCAGTTCAGTAAAATGCACAGGATACGTTCGGTGTGAGCCATGCACTCAGGTGCTTGGGGTGTGGGGATGAATAAGACATGGTCCCTGTGGGCAGCCAGGGCAGCGCCAGACTTGTGGGCAGGCAGTGCGAGGCTGCAGAGTCAGGCACGGACAGAAGTATGTGGAGAGGGTCTGTGGGAGCCGCGGAGGGCTCAGTCTTAGCCCAATTGCCAGAGATGTCGTTCAACTTGAGTTGTGAGTTACAGTGAAGACTGGCCCTATGCCGAGAGGCAGCGCACTCCAGGCATGGAAGATGTTAGCAGAGGCTTGGCAGAATGCTGTCAGACCTGAAAGACTTCTGTGTTACAGAGCCCGACATACAGAGGGAAAGGCAAACTGGAAGTCAGAGAAGGGTCAGGTGCGGGGAGTTAGTTTGGTTCTGCAAGGCCTCTGTATCACGCTCTGGAATTTTTCAACTTTTTTCTGCAGTTGGAGTCCTTGGTGGTGTGCAGAAAGAGCTGTGGGAGAGTTTATGTGTCAGGTCATCTGGATAGAGGATGGGGCATTCGCATGAATGGATGGATGATGGACGGAGGGAGGGAGGCAGGAAGGGAGAGAGTGGGCAGGTGAGCAGATGGATGGTTAGTTGATGGGGGATAGATGGATGGATGGATGAATGGCAGATGGATGGGAGGGTTACCTGAAGGCAAGGAAGCCAGGTTATAGGTTTTTGTTCTTGTCCAGGAAAGAAATGAGGAGGACTTAAACAAGTGTGGAGGTATTGAAACAGAGAAATAGAGAAATATTTAGGAGTTAAAACTGAGATGAGTGCAGTTGGGGTCATGGAGATACTGAGGAAGGCTGCCAAGTCTCTGACTTCATGATTGGGTGGGCAAAGAACTGGGAAGGCTGGAGGTGAGACCCATTTGATGGGGAAGATAATAAGTCCAAATTAGTACATTTGGGTCAGCTAGGCAGAAGGTTGGATACTCAGATCTTGAGATCAGGGAAGGGTAGAGGATGTAGAAGTAAGGGTGGGAAGGTATAGATTTTGGCGTTAGAGGTTTACAGAAGTCCACAGGTGAAGATTATATGCAAGGTTGCTTCTAGAAGGAGAAGAATGGGAGCATGGGCCACAGCATTGTGGAATGCCGGTGTATGAAAGGTGTGGACGGGAGAGACAGCCTCATGGACACTGAGGATACTGGCCTATTAGCAGAGCAATGTGCAGCAGAGTCCAGCAAAACACAGACTAAGATCCACCGGCTTGGCCCCATGGAGTTCATTGGTTCCCTTGGTGAGAATGGGTTTCCAGTGACAGGTGCCATCAGCCGGTTTTCATTGGGTTTGAGAGTTCATAGGAAGGGAGGCTGTAGGTTGACAAGGGAGACGACTCTCTCACCCAGCTTGTCTGTGAAGGAAAGATGTGCCAGGCCCCTGGGAGGAGCCAGTGTTTCTGTGGTACCATGTGCAGTGGCTGTGCCCTTGGCTCCCCGAGAGGCCCGCACCCTTGGAAACTGCTTGGGGACCAATTGACCGCGGGCAGAAGTCGGTCATATTTCTATTCGGTTGCACAATGGTATTACTGCATGTCGCGGTTTCACTTGTGCTCACCGGGGGGTAAAAAATGTAGCGCGCCTGTACATCCATTAATTTGTTTTAACAAATAAATGATGGGCCCGTTCATCCCGTTAACGAGTGTTTGAATGTTGCTAACGCATTCATCCTCTCAGCAGTGTTTTCCATTTCTGTGCAGTGCCTTTCTAGCAGCCCCCCTCGCATCTGGCTTTCACACTCCTGCCAGGGTTAGGCGTTCCCAGCACAGATCCTGCTGCCTCGCTGAGTGGCCTTCTGCCTTCTCCTGGCTCTTGGGACCACAAGGTGCTCTTGGTGACATGCTCTGGCAGCATCTCGAGGGCCAGTGCCTGCCCCTCTCTAGACCTCATGCTTTGGGTCCCAGAAGGAAGCCCCAGCTGCTCTGGTCTTCGGAGCACCTGAGGTCCCCACTCCGTGCTCCCCGCCCCTGGGCTCCCCCGCTGTGGTCCTCTTCCGTCCAGTCAGCTGGCCACACCCTGACTTTCTTTAGGAGCCCGCTCAAGTGTTGTTGCTCCTGGGGCCTCCCCAGGCTGTTCTCCTCCTCCTTCCATGGCGAGCCCCCTTCCGTTGCCACCTGTGGTCAACAGGTATCTGGGCATGGACAGGCTGTTCCCCCAGAGATTCTGGACTCCCACGTGGCAAGGGGATCATCGTGCGCCTGTCTCTCTGCCTGGCACTGCATTCATCTGCAGGAGCTGTTAGCCTGATGACACTCACCTTCTCCTCCCTTCTTTCCAGGGAAGCAGTTTAAGTGCACGGTGTGTGACTACACGGCAGCCCAGAAGCCCCAGCTGCTGCGGCACATGGAGCAGCATGCCTCCTTCAAGGTGAGAGGACTCGGCGCGTGGCGGGCAGGGGCATGCTGGAAGTGCGTTGCTTGTCAAAATGAAGGTGTCATTATTTTGGGGTGTTCCCTTCACTTCCGGGCCCCCTTGGCTAGGATGCGTGGAGTCCGAGGTGTAGCTCACCTCGTGGCGTGCGCTCTCCTGCCAGAAGGGTGGGATTTCTCTATCCTTTGGAAGCCAGGTCCAGGGACCATGCGTAACTAGAGAAAAGGCATGCTCTTACTCTAAAAACCTGGAGGGATGTAGAGGAGAGGCTGTGAGCTCTAGGAACAAGGGGGTGTGCTTTCAGACCTGGACGGCCTCAGGTCAGTCCCCTGGTACAACAGGCTCGTGACGATGCCCAGCCGGGGAACTGGAGATGGTGGCCACGGGGTGCCCGTTGCCGTGCCCGGCACATAGTAGGGCCTCAGGAGGCGGTGGCTGTCCGTATTCACGTCATAGCTGTAACTGAGATCTACTGAACGTGGCTGCTAAATATGCACTTGGCCGCCACTTCTGCTGCAGTTACTGACAGTGAGGCTTGTGGTCTTGTGCATTTGTTTGACAAGAACTTCCACCCGGTGCTGGGAACTCAAGCCTTAAAGTTGATTCTGCCACTGCATCTACGCATGGAAACGGAAAGCACGGTGCTCTAATGTTTGTTGAAGTCGTGTCCACCGCTGAGTCCCGGAGAATGGAGAAGGTGGGAGGGGCCATGGGCCGCCACACTTGCAGGTTGCATTTATTGAGCACCTGCTGTATGCCTGCACTGTGCTCGGAGCTTCACTCCCGTCAGCTCTCCCCTCCCCCACGGTAGAGCCCATCATCCCTCTCTCACTGATGAAGAACTCGAACCTCAGAGAAGGTACCCGGTCCCCCATTAGGCTTGTCTGCCATGCCCACATCTACAGATTTCAGTCACCGTTGAAACACTAACCAAGCTGTGTTGCCACCACTTCGGAGGGGACGAGGACTCCCCCATCGGCAAGCTCTTCTGAGGCTCAGAACAGCCAGCGCAGTGAGAGATGACTTCTCAGGATCTCACCTCTGCTGGTTAAGAAACCAAGTGGCTCAGAGGGTTAGGGGTTTATGTGCTGTAAACATCCAGGAAGGGAAGGGCCCAGAACTGACTTTGTCTCCGAGTCCTAGGCCTGGGCTTCTCTCCGCACGTCTTCTCCTTACTCCTCCTTACTCCTTGTGGGCAGAGAGGGGCTCACGGGGAAAACTGAGGGGGCTGCACCTGTTGCTTGTGTCTTGGCTTTAATGTCCCTGTGGCGGACCTGTGTTTCTCAGGTGGGTGTCACCTCGTGGGAGTGGCGGTGTGTCCGTGGGGAGCTTCTTGAGTGTCCTGCAGATTTTGTACGTGATTTAAAATGAAGAGCTTTATCTCGAGTTGCACCACCACAGGTGTGTTTCTTTGGGGGAGCCTAGACTTCCGTAGACTAGCGCAGGTGGGGTGCTAGGGAACAGCGAGCTGAGGCAGCTCTCACTTCATAGATGAGAAAGGAGGACTGGCAGGTTCTTTACTGTCCTCCCCGTCCCCAAACCAGAGCTAGACTTCCCATTCATTCCTGGGTTTTCAGCGGGAAACATCTTCTTCCCCAGCCAGACACAGCCCAACAGTCTCTCTGCCCCCCAGTCCTCACTGTTCTCTCTCTCAGATTTGTGGAATCTTAGGCTTGTGTGTACAGGAAGTGGATTTGGGGATGGTTTGAGCTCAAGTGTCACCCTGCTGTCACATAGCTGCCGTTCGCTGCTGAGGCCTTGGGAGCTATGGGGCAGAGCTGGCCCTGGGGTCACGTCTGCCTTCCCATGGACACCCTCCCTACGGAATGGTACCGCGGCTGGGCTGGGAACCACTCAGTCCGACTCCAGCCTCTCACCTCCTCCAGGTCAGGTGCTCTTGTAGCACGAGTTAGTGTAAGTAATGTTTCTCAAGTGACTAGGACCGACAAAGCGAAACAAAGTTTTGACAGTGGACGGTTCTCTTTCCTCTCTGTCACTTTTCTTCTTCTTTTTTTTAAGATTTTATTTATTTATTTGACAGAGAGAGACACAGCGAGAGAGGGATCACAAGCAGGGGGAGTGGGAGAGGGAGAAGCAGGCTTCCCACGGAGCAGGGAGCCCGATGTGGGACTCGATCCCAGGACCCTGGGATCATGACCTGAGCCGAAGGCAGACGCTTAACGACTGAGCCACCTAGGCACCCCTCTCCGTCACTTTTCTGTTACTGCTCAACTACCTCCACCTTGTAGCTGGAAACTGTACAAGTTATTACTGAATAGTTCAGAATTCTGGCATGGGTCTCACGGAGCTAAAGGCAAGGTGATGGCAGGGCTGTATTTCTTCCGGAGGCTTTAGGAGAAAATCCATCCCCTGGCCTTTTCTGGCTTCTGGAGGCTGCCTGCATTCCTTGGCTCTTGGCCCCAGCCCTCTGTCTTCCGAGCCAGCAACGTAGCACCCCACCTCTCTCTCCTCTGCCTCCCTTCCGCCTTTCACCTGGGAGGACCCTTGTGATTTCACCTGTGGGCCCACTTGGATGGCCCAGGAGAACGTCCTTACCTTAAGGTCAGATGGTTAACAACTTCGACTCCCCATGTAGTCGTAACTTCTTTTTGCCGTGTGAGCTTCCAGATACCAGGACGTGGACATCTTTGCAGGGACATTATTCCGCCCACTGCATTCCCCTCTGTTTTCTTCCTTTCACATCTACTCTTTGGTAGAAAACTCTCATCAGAATCCGAAAATACATGGTATGCGTGCTCCCACACTCCCTCTGCATACCAGTGGCAAATATTACCAAGAAATCAAGCCTCTCTGTTTCACTAATCCTACATGAGGCCTCAGAATTGTCAGGCAGACACTACTAATCCATTGCAGTCGGCTTCCAAGAGGAAACCAGTTGGCTTTCCTAGATGCAGATATATAATTTACAGTATATAATTTGTATCCAGAAACACTGTAATAAGGGCAAACTCTTGTATTGCCTTTTAAAATTACATGTTTTTATTTATTTATTTTAAAAATAAAAATATATGTTCACTGTATAAGATTTGGAAAGTGCTTTTCCTTCCCTTTCTTTGCAGAATTTTTGGATACGATATATTTTTTTTAAAACCTAATTGAGGTCCTACTGTAAATGAGCATTTTTGGGTGGAGATTCAAACATCAGTTTTACCACTGATAAAGCTCTATTAGAGAATGTCGCTTTAAATGAGTGGCCAGATGGTTTGCCAAGAATACTTCGCTGTTGAGTTAGAATAACCTCCCAGTCAAAGGCAGGGCTGGAGAGCCTGCCTGATTTGAGCATTATAAATATAGCCTTTTTTTTTTTTTAAATCATCGTTCCACAGGCATTTTTCCATTTCATGAAAATATACTTACTGTAAAACTGCTTTTAACGGCTGCTTTGGGATGAGTATCCTAGTTTAATTACCCATTCCCCTCATAATTGGACAGTTATGGTCATTCCCAGTTTTTTCTGGGAACATCTTCATGCCAAAAGCATTTCCAAGTCATCCTAAGATTGAAAGGACTATAAAACATGGGGTGAAGCCCATCAAACCCCAGAGAATTCACAAGCAGTGAAGGTGCTCTATGCACCTCTTGCAGCTGTAATTAAAATGCATTACCGCGGGTGGGACTGACACGGTCAGTCTTCAGCAAGTGCCAGAGAAGATGCTTGCACAGAGGAGCTGCCACGGAGCCAGGGGCCTCCAGACCAAATGGGCTTGTTCCCTCCCTCTGGCTGGTCAGCTCTTTGCTTCCTCGTGAATAAATACACCCGCACGCTGCTCAGTGAGGCAATGTGATCGCAGGCGGGAGTCCCCTCACACGGTTTTCTCTCTCTCTTGTCGGGCCCCTTTGACCCCACAACTCTCTTGAGAGGATTGTTCTCGATTAGGGGGCCTGGATGACTCCGTGGTAGTCTCCCTACCACGTTAATAAATTGTGGCTTTATTTCATTGAAAACATTTTTATTTTAAAATAATTCTAAACTGATCTAGAGTCCGGCGGATTTCCCAGGTACCGATTCCCCGTCTTCCCTCAACGACAGTGTCTTCTTTAACCATAGTGGGTTATCAAAACTGGGAAATTGACTTTGGTATCCTGTTAACTAAACCACGGGCCTTCGTTGGATTTTACGTCTTACCTCTTTTTTTTTTTTTTGAAATTAATAAAGTATTTTGAAGGTAGTTTTCGGTTCACAGCGAAATTGAGAAGAAAGTACAGGCACTTCTATACTGTCTGGCCCTGCCTCCTACTCACACCCTCCCCATTGTCAGCATCCCCACCAGAGCAGTACATTTGTCATAGTCCAGCCTATACCGATACGTCCTACTCACCCAAGGCCATAGTACAGTAGGGCTCCATGTTGGCTTTCTGCCTTCTGTGGGTTTTGACAGATGTATCGTGACACGTATCCACTGTTACGGTCATCATGCAGAGCCGTCTCACTGCCTTGAAAGCCCTCTCTGCTCCACCCATTCACCCTCTCTGCCCCCCGTCTCCCCTGGCAGCCACTAATCCGTCTACTGTCTCCATAGCTTCGCCTTTTCCAGAATGTCCTAGAGTTGGAATCATACAGCATGTAGCCTTTTCAGATTGGCTTCTTTCACTTAGTAATACACATTTAAGGTTCCTCCATGTCTTTTCATGACTTGATGGTGCATTTCTTTTTAGTGCTGAATAATATTCCATCACCTGGATACCACAGTTTGTTTATCCATTCACCTACTGAAGGACATCTTGGTTGCTTCGAAAGTATTGGCAATTATGAATAAAGCTGCTTAAACACTGGGTGCAGATTTTTGTCCCGACCTAAGTTCCCAGCTCCTTCAGGTAAATACTAAGGAGTGTGATTGCCGGATTGTATGGTAGGAGTATGTTTAGCTCGGCAAGAAACTGCCACACTCACGGTCTTCCACAGTGGCTGTACCATTCTGCATCCCCACTAGCAATGCATCAGAGTTCCTGTTGCTCCACATCCTCACCAGCATTTG